GGATTCTCTCTCTCCATGTCTCTCTGGCCCTCCTCTGCTCCCTCTCAAAATGAGTAAGAACCCAGCCCCTCCCGGGGAGGCTGTCCTGGCACACGGTGTCCTGCAAGGGCTCCGGGCAGGTGGGGGCGGCTAGAACTACTGTGTTCCTGTCCTTTCCGGGTGGCAGTTGCCCCCGATACTCCTAGGGCTTCCCCTCCCCGGCAGCCTTCCCCGAGACCCGGCCTGCGGGTGCTCCTGGGCTCTAGGAGTGTCTCCCAGCGGGTGCTTCGCACCTGCCGGGTCCGTGTCCCTGCCTCCCTGGGAGGCTCCTGCGGTGGCCACACGGTGTCCCGGGCTGGTTCTCACGCTTCCCCTTGTAGCTTCCCCTTCGTGTCCCCGCTCTGTGATTTGACCTCTTCCTTCCACTTAATCTTCCCGAGCGCTGTGTCAGCCCCATGGCTTTCCAAGTCGCCTGCAACAGTTTTTTCTAAATAGTGCTTTAGAGTGGTTCTCGGTTCACAGCAACACCCAGAAAGAGATCCGGAGGCCCCGCACAGGCCCCTGGCCCCCCACGCACAGCCTCCGCACTGCCCCCGCCCGCCAGACGCTGCATTTGTTAAACCGAATGAATCTGCTCTCAGATTCTCACGTCATTGGGTGCAGAGCCCTCGGATTACGCTGTGGTTCATCCATACTGTCGTATGTCCCACGGGCTTTAGCACGTGTATAATGGCCTCTGGTTATCACTTCGGTGCCACGCAGAGTCGTTTTCCGCCCTGCTCTGCCCATTATCCCTCCCTTCCCCCCAAACCCTGAAAACCATTCATCTCTTTACTCGCGCCCCAGTCCTGCCGTTTCCAGACTGTCATGGCATTGGGGTCACACAGTCTGTGGCCGACTCACGTTGGCCTCTTTCACTTTAAGGCACCCAGAGTGGATGTGCCATTTTGCATTCCCACCAGCAGCGACAGAGAGTTCCCACTGCTCCACATCCTTGGGAGCACGTGGCGTTGTTTAATTTTTTTAAATCATGGCTTTTAGTTTTCAGTGACATGACATAGTTGCTTATGTAGAAAATCCCACATAACCAACAAAAAATCTAGAACTAGTAAGGGACTGTAGCAAAATTGCAGGATACAAGGGTAATATAGAAAGTCAATTGTTTTCTGGTGGGGGCGGGGTGGCGCCTGGGTGGCTCAGTGGGTTAAAACATCCGACTCCTGATTTCAGCTCAGGTCATGATCTCACAGTTTGTGAGTATGAGCCCTGCACCAAGTTCTGTGCTGACAGCATGGAGCTGCTTTGGGATTCTCTCTCTCCCTCCCTCTCTGCCCCTCCCCCCATGTGAGCACTTGCTTTCTCTCTCTCTCTCAATAAATAAATAAAAACTTGGAAACAAATGATGCTGGATCACTTGGACATCTACATACAAAACAATAAAAAAGAAAGAATCTGTACCCAGACCTTACATTCTTCACAAAAATAAGCTCAAAATGGATTACAGACCTAAATGTAAGACACAAAACTATTAAAGTCCTAGAAGATAACAGGAAAAAATCTAGGTGGTCTTGGGTTTGGTGATGATTTAGACACAACACTGAAAGCACATCTTTGAAAGAAAGTTGTAGTAAGTTGTACTTCATTAATATGAAAGACATCTGCTCTATGAAAGACACAGAGAAAATGACAACACAAGACGCAGCCTGGGGGTAAAAGCCCAAAACACATGTCAGATACAGGATTGGCATCCAAAATATACAAAGAACTTTTAAAATTCAACAATAGGAAAAACAAACAACTCAGGTTAAAAATGGGCAAAAGATCCAAATATACACACCACCAGAGAAGATACACAGATGGCTCAGGAAAGATGCCCCACATCACACACCATCAGGAAATGCAGATTAAAACAACAGTGAGACATCACTGCAAACCCCCTGGTAGGAATGCAAAATGGTGCATCCACTGTGGGCAATTTCTTACAAAACTAAACATGCTCTTACCTTATGATTCAGCAATCACATACATTCCTTGGTATTTATCCAAGGGAGCTGACGCTTATATCCACACAAAAACTTGCACACAGATGTTTACAGCAGCTTTATTCATATTGTCAAAACTTGGAAGCAGCCAAGATGTCCTTCAGCAGATGAATGGATAGATAAACTGTGAGATATCCAGACAATGAAATATTATTCTGTAGTAAAAAGAAATGAGCTATGCAGCCATGAAAAGTCATGGAAGTACTTTAAATGCATCTTGCTAAGTGGGAAAAAAAAGTCTGAAATGGCCACGTACTGTGTGACCCCCATGCTGTGACGTTCTAGAAAAGGCAGAACCATGGAGACAATAAGAGCAATGGCTGCCAGGGGTAGGGGTGGGGGGCGAGGGATGAATAGGACCACAGAGGACTTCAGGGCAGTGAGACTGTTATTCTGTATGATACCATAATGACATATACATGTCATTATGATTTTTCAAAAACCATGCAATGAGCAACAGCGAGAGGGACCCTAATGCAAATGATGGGCTTTGGTCAATAATAACATATCAGTATTGGTTCATCAGTTGCAACAAAGGAACCATATTAACACAAGGTATTAGAGATATGGGAATTGAGCAGCGGCGAGTAAAGGGGGTATATGGGATCCTCTGCACTTTTCATTGATTTTTTGCTGTAAGTGTAAAACTGCTAAAAAATTATCTATTAATTTCTTTAATCTTCGTGCATGTGCACTTGACTAGCCTGAACTAGTCTTCTCTTGTTTTTCTGCCATTCATCCCCCAGTAACTTCTGGTATCCAGGCTCCTCATCCCCGCAACTTGACCATCCTTAGTGGGATGCACGTCACCTGCTCCCTTGTGGGACCCACTTCGCTTGTCAGGCATCTATAAGGGCCGCATTCCCACAAGATGTGGAAGGTCAGATTCCCAGTGAGGCTGCATGTGGGATCCACTCTGCTTCCCAGTGTTTCCATGTCCTTCCAGAAGTAGGGAGGATGCATCCCAGCTTTTTATCAGTTGTGTGAAGACAGAGACAGGGAACCCTCAGGAGAGGACAGGCACTGACTTGTGCTCTGTTCCATGGCTCTCTGTGGTCAGTCCTTGCCCAGGCCAGGGTCTCTGACTCTGTTCCCAACCAACATCAAGCCCAGAGGTTCAAGGAAAGCCTGAACTTCAACTGCCACCCCATCTATGACCTCTCTGCCTGCTGCCCTTTAAAGACACACAGCTTGGAATCAAGGCCGGCAGCAGAGAAGAGATGTTGTGTATTCAAGCTGCCATCTTCCAAGAAGGCTCCCTAAATTTTACTTTTGGGTAGAGATGCAGGCATGTCTAAATATTAATCAGCAGAATCAAACAGGGTATCAAAATAAAAATACACTAGACCCAAGTGGGGTTGCATCCATAGGCATGCAAGGATGGTTCAATGTCAGAAGCTTCAGTCAGACCAGCAGATGTAGAGGTAGCCACCTTCCCATGGACTAGGAAGCTCTGACGTAAGAGCACAAACCAGACACAGATGCTGTACACTGATGTGTTCAGCTCACTATTCAATCAACTAGGACAATAAGTTCATGAGAAATAAGGTACATCTCTACAATAACTATCACATAATTTGCTGATTTACAGGATCCTTTGTCAGGACCAGAATCAGAGGTGAAGATAATAAGGAAAAGTGGAAGAAAGTGGGGGAAATTTTCATGCCAAAGGGACTGACCCAGCCACGGGTGGATGGCTGGAGGCCAGAGGAAGAAGGCAGTCAGCAGGAGGCCAATGTCCAAGGGCATGGCCAAGAGCTCTTAGGAGCAGTGACATCTGGCACACAGACTTAAGTTTCCCTTTTCAGTAGAGTAATCCTCTTATGCTCACCTCAAGGTTTATAACCATCGCTCCCACAAAGAAGCCTTGCACTAGCAGTGGCTTGGTGATGAAACAGAAACCACTCCTCCTCCCATGGAGCAAAGCTGAAGAGGAGCGCCAGCTCAGAGGCTGGACAAAGTGGCTCAGGATGAATGGATGGTCTGAGTGGAGAGAGAGGAAGCAGGAATGAGAGATATTTGTGAGGTTTTCAGAAATAATCAAGTGGGAGAAGGGATTCCTTTCAAATAGCAGGCTCGGGGCTAGATTATTCTTATTCTTTTTTTTTTTTTTAATATTTTTTTATTTATTTCTAGGAGAGAAAGAGAGAGAGAGAGAGAGAGAGACAGCACGAGCAGGGGAGGGTCAGAGAGAGAGGGGGACACAGACTCTGAAATAGGCTCCAGGCTCCGAGCTGGCAGTCAGCACAGAGCCCAACGCGGAGCTCGAACCCACGAACCGCAAGATCATGACCCAAGCGAAAGTCGGACGCTTAACCGACTAAGCCACCCAGGCGCCCCTAGATTATTCTTATTCTGATAGTAACGCAAGGCTGACAAAAGCCCGGGCAAACTGAGGCAGCACCAGCATATGTACACTTATTCATGTTTACAGAAACCAACCAAATTTTCACCTTTGGGTGACAGGATTATGGGTATTATTTTCTCTAGATTTTTGCTGTTCCCAGTAAAGACCATGAATGACTTTTACAATCTACACATTTAAGATGAACGTAGCCAGGGAGAAGTCAGGGAGTATGGGGAAGAGCAGTTGGGCACGAGCTGCTGTAGGTCACGTGAGGTCAGCAGAGAGGGCAGGTGACCAGTGCCTAAGACTCCTAGGAAAACAGGCAGCACTGAGGTTCTAATTATAGGACCCAAAACAAAAGTGGAAGAGGGCAAATTTAGGAAACAAAGAAAGTGGATGCTTACCTGAGCCAGTAGGGAGGCACTGGCAGAGAGAAAAAAATAGGGCTTAGGAAAACAGGATAAACTGTCACAAGGAAGTGACCTTGTTCCCTACAAGTCCATTAGGCAGGTATATAAAGGGCTCCTGGCCCGGGAGGCTCCACACCTGAACCCCTCCTCTCTGCACCTGCTTCTCTGACCGACTCCACCCAAAACCCACCAGAACCATGGGCTGCTGTGGTTGTTCCGGAGGCTGCGGCTCCAGCTGTGGGGGCTGCGGCTCCAGCTGCTGCAAGCCCGTGTGCTGCTGCAAGCCCGTGTGCTGCTGTGTGCCAGCCTGTCCCTGCTCCAGCTGTGGCTCCTGTGGCTGCCAGTCCAGCTGCTGCAAGCCCTGCTGCTCTCAGTCCAGCTGCTGTGTCCCCATTTGCTGCCAGTGCAAGATCTGATTTTTAGTTTTTGCAGGGACTCTTACAAAAGCCAGGGCCATCCTGACCAAGAGTCATGGGCTCCAGCACAGCTATCACCCCCCTCTTCCCTGCACCCCTGATCCTGACTCCCCTCCATCCCAGGGCCCTGTGGTCCATCCTCCTCCTTTGCCCAATGTGAGCATTTCTCTTTGATCACCTGCCAAGAAATGCAGTGGGCACCTGTATCCAAGAATGACTTCCAAGACCCCTCCTCCCAGCACCTGGAGACCTTCCCCAGCCATCTGCGGAGAAAGTCCATCCCTAGCCCTGCGTACCGGGCCCCTTCCCCAGTGAGGACATCTGATCAGCAGCAGCCCAGGCTTTCCTCAGCTCTGCGCACCCTGTAGCCACTAATTCCTCAGATATCTGTCCTGAAGCATCTAATAAAGCCACTGTCCCAGAACCCCATTGCCGTGTCGATGTGTTTATCTGTTCATATTTCTCTGGTGGGAGGGAGAGGGTGTACATCAGAATAACACCCACAGCCGTGCTCAGTCCCTGGACCTACTAACAGGTCATCCGTCCCAGGCTCCCAGAGTATCTTTGGCAAATGCTGATCTGCTCCCCATCTGCAAACACTCTGTTTTCTCCAGCCAACCAGCTGAGGGGCCCTGAGCAAACCATCTGTCTCCTGGAACCCGTGTCTGCACCTGTAACATGGACTAACAGAGCATTTTCCTGGTGGGAAGTGCCGTGTGCGCGGTGAAACAGCCATGGGAGATGGACCCAGCGTGACGGCCAGCTGGGGGAGGTCTGGCACATACCTCCTCCTGGCTCAGTGTTGAGCCGAGGTAGACATGGCCCTGTTGTCTTTCCTGAAGCGATCTGACCCATATGATACCGCCTCTCATGGTTTCCGGTGTGGATGTGGTGCTGTGCTAAGCGCTTTGCATAAGCCACTCACCAAATGCTCACAGCAGCCCTGATCTACCAACATAAAGCGAAACACAGAGAGGGTCAGTGCAAGAAAGGACCCAACACCATTTTTGATGTTGGACCACTGACAGTTTTCAGGAGCTCCCAACCTTCTTTTTAGCCCACAACCAGGCAGCCAATGAGAAAGACCATTGCACTGACAAGGACATTCAAACCATTCAAACTCCAGCCTGTGCAGGAACCCTAAGCCTAGACTCACCCCTAATCATGAGTAGAAACCAAAGTACATTCCCTTTGTTTATTCAGGTCATTCCAAACCAGCCTGGGTGCCTGCCTTGCTCACCCAAAGTCTATTATGTGAGGAATAAACCCTTCTCTACCCTCTTGGTGCATGTGTGGTGTCTCAGTCTGCTACCTGAGCCAATTTGGGGCAGAGGATGGATCCTGTCCCCCGTGGGGCAATCACAAGGTGGTAACACTTTGCCCATGGTCCCACAGCAGAGAGCCAAAGAGCCAGAATTGAAAACCATGCATTTTGGTTCTGAGCCCTCATATGGAGGTTTATGATGATGTGTAAAAGTCAGGAGAGCAAACTTTCTGCTTCCAAAAGGGGATGTAATATGCATAGAAGGTTAACAATCCCACCACAGCAACTAGAAAAGGCCAAATTAGTTTCAAAACCCATAGAGTAAAAGGCACCACAAACTCTATGTTGTGTGTATTTTACCACAATTTGTAAAGAGTAGAATACATACATAATGTTAGACCACTGTGGAATCAGCGAGAACCAGATAAAAACAAGCCTCGAGTGGGAAAGCTTTCTGAGATGAACTGAGGATCAATCACCATGTTTTCTTCCTTTAAGGAATAAGCCACTTCTGGGTGTGGGCTGATCATCAGGCTTGACCCAGAAAGAGGGCCTCTCCCAGGAGAAAGGAAACCCGCAGAACTGTTGCAATCACCACCAGGGCTGGCGTAGAAAATTGGGACATTTGCTAGCTTCCAGGTCTATGAGAGGCACAAAACTAGACCTGAGGCTTGTACATGCAAAATGAAATCTGTAGCCTCACGGCATTTAGCACACAACATCCTCTGAGAGAAAAGGTTTCCGCTTCAGACACAAGACACATGTCCCTTAAGACATTTTCCAAATTTTGAAGCTTACTGAGCAGAAGAGCTAATCTTCATATATTTGAGGAAAAGAACAGAGTTTCCCGAAGTCTTGCAGCACCGAGAACCTACAGAGAAGCCAGGCTCTAAACACCAAACACCAGGAGAGCCAAACCTAGAAGACTTCCACAAGTGCAGTGGAAGCCCAAACCCAAGCCCAAACCCAGCCCAGTCTCCACTGGACCGGAGTGTTCAGGGGCTTGCCCTACCTGGATAAGAGAGGAAAGGCCAAGTATCCCTGTTAGAAGATGTCAACTAGAACCTCTATGGCCCTTTTATGCAAATATCTGGCATACACTCAAAAAGTACTAGACACAGGAAGCAGAAGGAAAATGTGGTCAATAATCAAGAGGAAAGCTAACAACAGAAGCAGGTCCACAGATAAGCCATGTATTGGAATAAGCAAGCAAATTTAAAATAACTATGATTAATATGCTAAATGAAATAAAGGAAAAGATAAGCAAAATGGATGAAAAGATAAGCTTTTTCAGTAAAGAATTACAATATACTTAATTTTTTAAATGTTTATTTATAGAGAAGAAGAGAGAGAGTAGGGGAGGTGGGGGAGGGGACAGGATATGAAGCAGGCTCCATGCTGACAGCAGAGAGGCCGATGCGGGGCTTGAACTCATGAACTGTGAGATCATGACCTAAGGTGAAGTCAGATGCTTAACTGACTGAGCCACCCAGGTGCCCCGAGAATTAGAATATATTTAAACATGTTAAATGCAAGAACATTCTCATACTGAAAATATGATATCTGAAATACCTAAAACTAATGACTCATCAGATAGGTCTAACAACAGAAAACAAGTTTAGGGAACACAAAGGTATATAAATAGAAAATATCCTAACTGAAGTGCAGAAAGAATAAGTGCAGAAAATGAAAATAGAACAGAACATGAGACGCATGAAACATAGTGGTTTTTTTTAGTTTTTTAAATGTTTTGTTGATTTCTGAGAGAGAGAGAGACAGCGTGAGCAGGGGAGGGTCAGAGAGAGAGGGAGACACAGAATCTGAAACAGGCTCCAGGCTCTGAGCTGTCAGCACAGAGCCCTATGTGGGGCTCGAACCCATGAACAGTGAGATCATGACCAGAGCCGAAGTCGGCCGCCCAACTGACTGAGCCACCCAGGCACCCCGAAACATATTTTAAAACATATTTCTGGACTTCCAGAAAGAGCAGCAAGAAATAATGGAGTGTGAGCTATATGAAGAGAAGATGATATCATAATTTTCCAGAATTGTGGAAAACCATGAATCTACAGGCTCAAGAAGCTCAGCAAACTCACAGCAGAATGAATAGATAGAAGAATACACAGAGGCACGCTGTAGGAACATTTCCAAACACCAAAGAGCAAGAAAAAAATCTTTAAAAGCAACAGGAGAAAAAGAACACATTACCCGTGAAGGAAAAACTATAAGAGTGACAGTTGATTTTTTTTTTTAATGTTTTATTTATTTCTAGGAGAGAGAGAGAGAGACAGCGTGAGCAGGGGAGGGTCAGAGAGAGAGGGAGTCACAGACTGAAACAGGCTCCAGGCTCTGAGCTGGCAGTCAGCACAGAGCCCGACACGGGGCTCGAACCCATGAACCGCGAGATCATGACCTAAGTGAAAGTCGGACGCTAACTGACTAAGCCACCCAGGCGCCCCAACAGTTGATTTTTAAATAGAAGTGATGGAAGCCAGAAGACATGGAATAACATCTCATGGGCTGAAAGAAAAAAATGTCAACCTGGAATTTTATATCTAATGAAAATGACCTTCAAAACGTAAGTGAGGGGCACCTGGGTGGCTCAGTTGTTGGTTAAGCTTCTGACTTTGGCTCAGGTCATGATCTCATGGTTTGTGGGTTCAAGCCCTGCATCAGGCTCTGCACCGACAGTGCAGAGCCTGCTTGGGATTCTCATTCTCTCTCTCCTTCTCTCTTTCTCTCTTTTTCTCTCTCTCCTTCCCTCTCTGCTTCTCTCCCCCCAAAATAAATAAACCGTAAAAAAAAAAGTGTAAGTGAAATACAGTTGTTTTCAGATGAGGGATATTATCACCAAAAGACCTACACCACAAGAAATACTAAAGAAAGTTCTTCAGGCTGAAGGAAAAGAACCCACATGGAAGCATGGAACTTCAGAAATGGGTAAAGAGCACTGGAAATTGTAAATGTGTTGGTAAGTATAAAAGAAAACGAACTGCTTAAAACAATATATTAGTGTCTCATAAGATTTTTAGCATTTTTGGAAGTAAAATGCAAGGGGAATAAGCAAAATTAAACAGTTGTAAGGCTCTTGCCTTGTTCAGGATGTCATGAGATGACCGAGAGTATAATAAATCAAGGATATGAAATGTAATCTCTAGGAAAGCCACTTAAAATATGGATGAATATGGGGGGCGCCTGGGTGACTCTGTTGGGCATCTGACTTCAGCTCAGGTCGTCATCTCAGAGTTTGTGAGTTTGAGCCCCATGTCAGGCTCTGAGCTGGAGCCTGCTTCAGATTTCCATGTGTCTCCCTCTCTCTCTGCCCCTCCTCTGCTCGTTCTCTCTCTCTCTCAAAAATAAACGTTAAAAAATTTAAACATATATATATGAATACATATATAACCCAACAGCTAACAGAGAAGAGAAGTTGGATTAAAAAAAATAGCTGAATCCAAAAGAAAGCAAGAAAGAAGGGAAAAAAGGAACAAAGAAGAGACGGAAGAAATGGAAAATAAAATAGCTGTTAACAAGCATGAGTGGAGTCCACGGTTAGAGGCCGAATGGCAAGCCGTAGGGCGATGACTGCTGCTGCCTCCTGGGGGACAGCGGTCCAGGAGAGCCCCAGGTCCCCGCAGGGAAGGCAAAACTGCATCCTGTGCTGTCAGCCACAACCAGGACCATCTGGGCAACAGCCCCACACACAGTCCCGAGACACAGACCTACAGAAAGAGGAGAAGAGGAACTGGCCCTTCGGGTCAACAGACCGGGCAATAGTGATGGTCCGAGTGCCAAGGGGCTGACAAGGTCATGTTCTCCCAGGCATTGGCCACAAGCAAGCGTCTCCCACAATTCACTCTGCAGACTCGCTATTTGGATGTCCGTTTAATGACCATGAGATGGCCACCCCAGAGACATCCTCAAGGCTGATAAAATCCCACAGAGAGCACAGGAGGAGCTGTCCCAAGCCTGGGGGCAAGTGTCAAGCTATGGCTGCTCTGGACGGGCCATATCAGACAGACCGGCAGCCCGAGGGTGCCTCACCTGACCATGACCAATGAGCTGCTAAAGAGTATTCTGCCTTGTTAGCACCAAGAGCTCCTGGGAGGTTGCAAAGCTTGGGACCTAAAATGCCCTGGATAAAGACAGATGCCCCCTGCTTCCAAAACCAATCTCCTTGCTAACAAACAAACCATGAACAGGAATAACAAATGCTCCCTGTCCTAGTGACCTAGGCACACTACCTGCTGAAAGTGACTGTTAAAACAGCAGTGCCCCAAAGATAAAGTAAAAGGGGGCAAGCACCCAGAAATTCAGGCAATAGATGGAGCTATGAGAGGCCACAAGGGGGCACTCAGGCACCTTTGAAACCAAAGTGCTGCCACAAAGGAAGTCCCTCGCGGAGGTCAGGTGCTCTCTGCCAGAGGCACCGAGAGCCAGTGGTTGCTCCCTCTTTGGGCACCCCTACTACCTGACCCTCACCCCTGTATCCCAATTTAGTGGCCTTTAGAGAAGGGGAATTAGCATAGGGTTGAGGTCTCTCGGTCACAGGGGAGACCAAGGTCTCGTGGCCCGGCAAGTGTACAAGGGGCCCAGTGGCTGCAAATCTTTATGGCTGTTTCAGGTATGTTGCCCAGGTGAGTCACCCAGTGGTGGCGCAGGGAGGTCCCAGGAGGACAGCTTTGTGACCAGGCGTTGATAGCAGCTAATTCAGATTGGGAAACTAAAGGATATTTTCTCCAAAGTTGGTTAATGGAAAGGGCCCAGATTGTTCCCCCCTCCCCCATATCTGCTGGCCCCCCTCTCCAGCCCCGGTCCATGGCCTTGCTTCCAGAGACAGCCAGTCTTAGGTTTGGTGGTTCCTCAAAAGTTACACGTGAAAATGTCACATGATCTGGTCATTCCACTTCCGACTATATTCCCAAAAGACTGGAAAGCAGGGTTTCAAATAGATACTTGTGCACTACTGTTCATAGTAGTGTTATTGACAGTAGACAAAGGATGGGAACACCCCAAATGTCCATCGACAGATGAATGGATACACAAAATGTCAGCTGTCCACACAATGGAAGATTATTCAGCCTTAAAAAGGAAGGTGCGGGGCGCCTGGGTGGCTTAGTCGGTTAAGCGTCCGACTTTCGCTTAGGTCATGATCTCGTGGTTCGTGGGTCCGAGCCCCGCGTCGGGCTCTGTGCTGACTGCCAGCTCAGAGCCTGGAGACTGTTTCAGAGTCTGTGACTCCCTCTCTCTCTGACCCTCCCCTGCTCACGCTGTCTCTCTCTCTCTCCTAGAAATAAATAAAACATTTAAAAAAAAAAAAAGGAAGGTGATTCTGATACCTGCTACATATGGATGAGCTCCAAGGACATGATGCTGAGTGACATGAGGCAGACACAAAGGACAAATACCACAGGATGCCACTCACACGAGTTCCCTGAAGGAATCAAATTTGTAGAGACAGAGAGAAGCATGGTGGGTGCCAGGGGCCGGGTCAGGGACAGTGGGGTTTATTGTTTAGTGGGGACTGAGTTTCAGTTGGTAAAGACGAGTAAGTTCTGGAGATGGACGGTCATGATGGGTGCACAACGGGCATACACTTGATGCCCTTGAACTGAACACTTAAACATGGCTAAGATGGCAACGTTTATATCGTGCATATCTTGCCACAATAAAAAAAAAGTCGAGTCAATTTTACTCTATAATTTTAAAATTTAAATAAAATGACCCAAAAAAGAAAAAAACAAAAGCTTGAACGTGCACATGAATCTCCTGAACTTGTTAAAACACAGATTCTGGCTTTGCAGGCTTGGGTGGGGGGTGAGAGTGTGTATTTCCAACACAGTCCCAGGTCGTGCTGACGCAGCGGGGCACGTGGTGCTAGGGGACAACCACCAGAATGTTCACTGCAACGCTGCTGCGTGGAGAAAAACTTGCAAACAGGCTAAATGTCCGTCAGCAGAGGAATGGCAAAGGAACTAGTCTGTTCATTCGGTGCAAACCTACGGAAACAGTAGCCAAAATGGATGGACTGGGGACCCGCATCCACAAGGATGAACAGGCTGGCATGTGGGAAAAAAAGCAAATTGAAAAAGAAATGTTGTGCCACGATGGTTATATATAAATACTGAAAAGTGCACAAGATCACACGATCTGCTGTATGCAGGACTTATACGCGTCATTAACTGATAAAGACAAAATCAGGAAGACACCCCCGACTCGGAGCCCCCCGTCGCATAGGCCCAGGAGCTGGGACCCATGTAGGAAAACACCAGGACCCCACTGTGGTTCTTCCAAGCTGAAGCAAAAACGGAAAGCTGCTCACATGGTTGGGTCTGGAGCTAGGTGTTTGTTCCATCATTTTCTGTGTGTGTCAGGTTTTTTTTAAACATCATAATTAAAAACCAGGAAAGAAAATAATCTGAAATGTGTTATGAAAAACATATCGAGGGATGCTGCTCGCTGCACTGGTTGTAATAACCAAAATATGGAAATAGTCTATCACATAAACACAGAAAATTGGTCCAAGTATCACCGCACACCCGTGAAATGCAACACCACACACGTTTATCACCTGCTTACCGGAAAGCAGGGCCCTCCCTGGGTGAACCTCAAAAGCGTTTCCTGGAGCGGAAGGAGCGGGACACAAAAGAAGGCAAACCGCCAAGTTTTGCGACAGGCAGCGAACCGAGGAACCGAGGGGCGAGCTGGCCTGGAGCGGGCGGGGGGGGGGCGCATGGGGTGACGGGGGTACTCTAGGTCCACGCCCCCTGCTTGGACAACTGAGATACGCATTTTATTGCTAACAACGACTCGACTTAAAAAAAATCTGGTTGTGGGGGAAATAATGCCATGGGTACACGTTGACTGTGGGTCTTTGGCTGAAACGCTGAGCTGCAAGTCGGCCAACAATACTGGACCCCGTTTTCCTTCCGCGGGAAGGAGCCCCCCGAGCGCGTCCTCTGCGCCCTGGTCGGCGCAGGCGGGCGGCAGGGGGCGCGCACGGACCGCCCGCGGCAGCCCCCCCGGCGCGCGGTCCTCCGGGAGGGACCGACCCCTACCCGACGCCGCCCTGAGCCGGTCCTCCTCCACCGCGGGGGTGCGGCCCGCGTGGCCCGCGCCATCACCTGCGGGGAGCCCGGGCCCCGCGGGCAGGGGGGCCCCTGGCTGGGGAGCTGGGAGCCCTGTCCCCTGCCACGCACCGCGCAGCGCCCTGGTCCACCGCAGCCCCCTCCCAAGCCGCCCCTGTCCCCGCGCATCTCATTAGGGCCTGAGTTCAGGGCCAGGCCGCTGGCGCTCCGAGGGGGCCCCGGGGCAGCGGACTGAATCCAGCGGCGTCTAGAAAGAACCTAGGGCAGAACTAGCAGCCTGGGAAACTCGAAGTACCTCGCGAGCCCTCTGCTTCATTGCGGAAAACTCCCGGCTTTAAGCACTCCTTTGCACAAGAAATGACCGAACTGTAAAGTAATCCTGACCCAAACGTACTTCCCTGGCCGGACGCAGCCCGGGAAAGCTGCACACCACTCCCACCCACTCATCTACAGCTTCCGGAAGGAAGTGAGGACACCATCACCTGGCCCTCAACCCCCTGCCTCCGGCTCAGGCCTAGCTAGGAGCTGCCCAGGGCACCGCCAGAGTCCTTTGGGGCCATGGGCGCTCCCAGGCCACGTGCAGGCGCTGACCACATCCGGGCTGGGCAGAAAAGGAGCCCAGGTGAACCCTGTCCCCCCGGGCGGGGGAGCAAACCCAGCTCCTCAGTCTAAAGACTGACAAACCCCAACTCCTGCCGGTCCCAGGCCCTTCTGGATCTGTCTGTGCTCCCCAAGGGCCTCAAGTGTTCCCTCCAGCCACCTGGCCCCATCTGGGCTCAGCCTGACTCCTCCTACCTCTCCTAGGGCTCAGCCTCCCCGCTTTTCAGACATGGGGTGAACCCAAACATTGTGAGGCCCCAGGGAAGCCCCTACCCATCACCGACCCAGCCATGCATCTGGGCTGGGCATTCCCTGGAGCTCAGGGTCTGCCCCTGCCCAGGGCCTCTCTTCTCCGAGGGGCAGAGAAAGAGGAAGGGCCTGAACCCAGCCCCAGCCCCAGCCCCCAATAGCCCCCAGGTCACCAGTGCTCCCTTCCAGGACAGGCCCAGATGACTGTGTGTCCTCGGTGCTGGCTCTGTGCCAGGAACACATCCTCCCCCACCCTCCCCCACCGCCCCGCCATGCACCCCATATACACACACTACTCTGGCGTTCCTCGGGCCAGCAAGAAAAGACGCCTCACGCACTTACTACCCACCTACTCTGTGCAAAACCCTGAGGCTGCAGGTGGCCTGCAGGGAGAACTGAGGATCAGAAGGGGACCCTCCGGAGCCCTGCCCAGTACCCACCTGCTACCTGATGCCCTCCGCACCCCCACACAGAGCTCCGGGGGCCTGCGTGCCCGTCCTGGCCCCGGGCAGGACAGGCCAGTTGTGCCTGGCTCATTTTCTGTGACCCTTCATTCAACCAGGGATGGCTGAGGGCCGCCTCGCAGCTCTCTCCCTCCTCGGGAAGGGGCTGCACTCCCTGGGGGCTGAAGCCCCTCTCAGAGCCCCAAGGTGGCCCGCCAAGGTGGGGGCTCCAGGCTGGAGGAAAGATCAGCTCACTCTCCATCAGCCAGCAGTGGGGAAGGGGTTTTAGAAACATCTGAGCTGTCTGGTCACACCTCCCACCAAAAATAATTACCTTCAAAGGCTCCCATCAGCGTCAGCTCACGGCAATGGTCTTTGTCCTTCTCAGACCTAAGATCCCAGAGCCCATAACCGGCCGGCCAGAGAGGGTGCTCAGTAATCAGTAGGTGTGTAGTGCACATCTTCTCCCGGGGCTCCTGCCTCCAGCCCCCGGCCTCCTCCAGGCCTAGGGACCCTTCAGGTCTTTCCTGCCCGGGGTGGGTGGGGGTCCCTCCTGCACCACGGGTGCCTCCGCGGGCCTCCAGTCCACCTCCTGGGGTGGCCTCCAGGCTGCCCACCGCCTGTGTGTCTCCGGCCACTGTTTGTTTCCGGCCCAACCCTGATCAAGGTGTAATTACGGCCGCTCTGGACTCCCAGCGTCCTGGCCTCAATTCGCCTGGGGGCAGACCCTCGACAGCCTCGACTGGGTCGTGGGGAACACACACTGTCAGGGCGGCCCCTATACGCGCTGTTTGGGGGTGGCTTTTCACTGGAAGCGTCAGGGGCTGGAGATGCTCGGTGGGGCCTGGCGGACAGCGCTGCACTGGGGACCCCCTCCCCAGAGTTCATGAGACGTGAGACACACCGGCTCGTCTCCGAGCTTCCAGTTTCCTCCGAGTGAAGTGGAAACCCAGGTTCCCGCCTCCAGGGGTGATGGGGAGGGTTGGCGGTGTAGGTGCTGCGGGCAAAGTGCTCGAGGGCCTAGCACGCGCTGCGCGCCCTCCGCCCGGACCGGGGCGGGCGAGGGTCTCCGGGCCCACAGGCCCCGCGCGAACAAAGGCTGCGGGGCGGGGGCCGCGGCGGGGAGAGGACCCTCGAGCCTCGACCCGTTCAGCCGGCTCCTCCTCGGCTGCGAGCGCCGCGAGGCGTCCCCGCGTGGTGGTACCGGGCGCGGGGGGCTGGGAAGGCTCCCGGAGGGTGGCGGGGGGGGTCCCAGGCGGCACGGAGGGGACGCCACGCGGCCCCTTTAAGAGCCGGTGCCGGGCGCGGGGCGGAGGGCAGAGGGCGGAGGGCGGCGGCCAGCCCGGCCCCCCGCCCCCCCGCGGCCGCCACCTCTGATCTGCACCCGCGGCCGGGCTCCGGCTGACGTCACCTGCCCCCGAGCCGCGCGCGCTGATTGGCTGCAGGTGACGTCAGGGCCTTTTTCGCTCGGCATGACCTCATCCCCGCCGGCGGCCCCGCCCTCCGCCCCGGGCCTGTCACTCGCGGCCGAGCGCGGCGGCCCAGCCCGCTCCGCGCCCCCCGCCCGGACGCCGGAGCCCAGGCCGCGCCGGAGCCGCACCGGCCGCGCCCGCCGAGCCCGGGGGGTGGGATGCGCGCCGCGAGCGCGCGTGCCCGCCCGCAGTGCGCGCGCCCCGGCCCGAGCGAGCGCTCCCCGCGGCGGCGGCGGCGACGGCGGCGGCGGCGACGCGGCCCGCGCGCTCCCCCGGCCCCTGCCCCGGCTGCGCGGGCCCCTACCGGGCCCATGGGCGGCGCGGCCGAGCGGGCGCGCTGAGCGGGCGCGGGTCCCCGTGCGCCCCGGACACGAGCGACGGCGAGGTGAGCGGGGGCGCAGAGCGGGGACGCGCGGGGCGCGGGCAGGGGGCCCGGCCGGGGGCGGGGGCGGGGGGGCGCTGCGCCTGAAGCGCCGGGGCGGTAGCACCCGGCGGGCGCCCGGGAGGAGGAGGCTGCCCCGAGGTGAGCTGCCAGGCTCGCGGGGACGCCGCTGGGCGGCCCAGGAAGCCCTTCCCCCGCCTCCCACAGCGCCTGGTGGACCCCGGCCCGGTCCACACTGGCCCACCTCCCCCTCCTCCCGCTTCGCCGCCTTTCTCCTCGAAATTCCTTCTTATTGGGGAGGGGGGAGGGGCACGCAGTAAGGACCCAGGACTAGGGCCATTTGAGATCCAGCGTGGATCTGTACGGACCTCTGCCAGAGCCCCAGACTCCCTAACTCCCACCCCGCCATGGAGGCCCCAGGAACGAGCCAACGGCCCCGCGGGTTGAGGATGCAGGCCTTGACCAGAGGGGAAGAGGCTTCTGGCCTGTGGTAGGCTCAGGAAAGGGCGCGTTCCGTGGGGCGAGGCTGCAGATCCGTGTCCGGTCTGGCCAGGCCGCCAGGACGCCCCCACCGCAGGGTGCTCAGGTGGCCCCTGCAGAATAAAGCCCATCCACCAGCCTGCTGCAGAGGCGACAGCGGGTGCTGGGGGAGGGGCTGGCACTGCCAGGCTGAGTGCAACCAGCCTCCCTCAGCCTATCTGCCCACCTTGGTGGGGAGGGGTCCCTAGTAGTCTGGCCAGGAGCGGACGGGGCACGAAGGGCCCACAAGGTGCCCAGCCCCCACCAGGTCACCCCTGCTGGGAGAATTTGCCTCCTGACTTCCTGCTGCAAAAAAACGCACTAGCTTCTGCAGGGGGGAGTTGGGGTCCTGGCTGCTGCAGTGACTGGGGGTTGAGCGGGGATTCCGAGGGGTGGGGGAGGGCGCTGGCAGGATCTAACGTGGCGTCCACAGGGGTGCCGCTCGGGGTGCGGGCTGCTCGGGGGAGCAGCTCTCCTGCTGCGCGCCGGCCCCCGCAGGTCTGAGCGGGGATCTGAGGGTCCCTCACTCCCCACCGCCTCCCTCAGACCTTGCCCCAAGGGCAGCTCAGGGAATGAATGTCCCCTCCCTGCTCCGGGAGGACAGATGTCCCATGAATTCACTCCTCAGAAGCTTAATAAGCACCTGCCTAGGTAGGGCAGATCAGGTGACCGGGAGCCCAGAGTTCGGCCTGCACTCTGACTGAATACCTCGGGCTGCAGGCAGCTGAGGCCCCAGGAGAGTTGCTGGGCGGCCTCTAGTCAGTCCCCTGCTGCCCTCAGCCCTCCGGAAGGTCCTGTGTCCCAGAGGCTGCCCCCGGGAACAGTGGGCTCCCTGCATACGGACACAGAGATGCTTGAAGTCACCCTCTGCTCCAGGACCCTCCCCGGCATCCTCTCCTCTCCATCTGAGGCTGACCTTAGAGCCCAGATGCTTCAAGCGGACAGAGGGCCCAAGGGGCTGTGGAAGCCAGAGGGCGCAGCTCAGCGGGAAAGGAGACGAAGGAGCCAAACCCACAGCAAGAGGGACGTGGGTCAGACTCTGACCAGCAGGACTGCACGGGCTGAGGCCACGTCTGCCTGAACCGCTCCAGGCAGTGACCAGTGGGTGCCCGGGCATTGCCCAGGTGTGTGGCGTGGGGACAGGCAGTGACCAGAAGTCCTGCAGATCAGGACTAGAACAAGCCAGGCAGGAACAGAGGAAACCTAGATCTGTAGGGTCCTGAACATACCCCCTGAAGGACTGACGTGCTGAGACCAGGCTCTGCCCAGACTCCTGTCACCCGAGGGGGCAGGGCCCCCACCCCACTGTCTCCCAGGGCCACAGCCTCCCCAGACCGACTTGGCTCTGTTTGGCCTTGCCATTGGCTCCTCCCGGGCAGACCAAAGGCCAGCTTGGGTCCTGTCACATTCACCTCAGGGGGATGAGGGGGCCAGGGGTGAGAGCAGATGGGGGTAAACGGGCTGAGCTGGTGTGAGCCCCCTACCAGTCTCTCTCCTGGCTTCTCACTTTCTGGCTCCAGAGGTGGCCCTGGTCACAGTAGCTGAACACATCAGCATGGTGCCCCCCCCACCCGCTGCCAGCCTTTCTGCCTATGTGTGCCAGGCACCACTCGGGCTGGAGACATCACCCTGGGTGAGAGCCACAGGCCACCCATGGTGGACAGTCCTGACGGTTGTCTCTGCAGGTAGTGAGTTCCCCATCACTAGGTGCTGAGCAGAAGGTACCTTGGTGAAGATGCCTTCAGTTGGGAGTTTTCTGGCCACACACAGGTCCCTTGCTCAGGGACAAGAATGTGCCCCGTGGAGGCCCTGGGAGCCAAGCGTGAAGAGATCTTGGAGCTGGCTTCAGGGGCTTGGGGGTCCTGGGATTTGGGGGAATTTGGCAGGCAGAGGGTGAGGATGCGTGCACCCAGTGACCACACATATGTGCACGGACATCTGTGTGTGAGCGATTACACGAGGAGACGGAGTGGATTGTGGGAAGGAGGTGAGCACTGCGTGGACAATGTGCAAAGGGGCATCTTTGGACTCGCGCGGCAGTGGACACGCAGCCCAGAAGCCAACTGCGCGGTGCACCTGACCTTTCAGAGAAAGCGGGGGGGCTGCCTGCGGCCTCTTAGGTGGTGCCCAACCGGGGGGGAGGGGCCTCCTGCCTTTGGGCTGAGAATTGCTAAGTGTCCTAAGCAAGGAGCCCTTTGATGGGGGTTTGGGGGCCTGTGCCTCCCTCCCCCTGGCACCCAGCCTCTGGAATAGCGGATGATGGGTGCTGTCTCCCCTCAGTTCCCAAGAGTGGGGTCTGGGCTGAACCTGGGGTGGGCCCTTGAAATCAGGGAGGCCCAAGATCTACAGTATCTATTTCCTCTGTGCCCACCTGGCCCATTCCAGCCCCACTTAACTGCCTGACTGTCCCTAAGCTTTCCCGCCCTAACCGGTGTTCTAGCGCAGCAGGTGAGGGTCTGCCTCCCAAGGAGGCCCTGTGGGTGAGGACGCACTCCCAGGAGGCCGGCTCAGCGCCAGAGATCCCCTGCAGGGTGAGCGCTTGGGCCGGACCGTGGCCTCCTGAAGGCTCCCCTGGAGGTGGGAGTGAGGTGCATGGCGGGTGCCCTTGGCAAGGAAGGTTCGGACCAGGTGGCGCAGAGAGGGGAGGGGCCTGGAGGAACGTCACCTGGGGCTTTGGGCCTCGTGGGGCCCTGGCCAGGGGTCGTCCCAGGCCCCAGCCCCTGGGCACCCGCAGGAACCCGGGAGCCGGCCCTGTCGCCGGCAGAGCCAGCCTGCCCTGTGGCTGTGCCGCAGGAGCAGCCGTTGCCTGGCACCTCTGTGGTTGCCATGGCAACGTCGGAGGTGCTGACTTGCTAACGAGTCCCCTCGGCTGCAAATAACAATACTATAGCGGTTAATAGGGCAGAGCTGCAGAGTTCCTCAGCGGGTGGGGCTGAGACCAGGTACTGGGCCTGGAAGCCTCAGGCTCACCTCCCAGCCCCTGTCCCTGTCCTGTGGTCCTGAAGCCCAGCTCGGCTCATCCACACCCTCGTCTCATCCTGAGCCCGCATCCCTGCTGTCCTGCAGCCTGGACTCCCGTCCATGGAGTGGACACCTCTCCACACCCCAGCTCCTCTCCTGGCCAGCTAAGGACCCCAGGGCAGCGTCTGTGCCCAGTGGCTGCAGGGAGGGTAAAGAAGCTCTCTCCCAGCCCCTTCCCTCATCCCTGCCCTGGACTTCTATTTGGCTTCTGTTGCTTTAGGTGGGAGACAGTCCGCCCTCACCTAACTGATGAGGACATTAAGTGCGCTTCTGCCCCACTGCATCCGTCTCAGGGTCCTGGGCCTCTGAGCTGGCTCCTGGTCACGCAGCCACAAGGGCAGGAGGCTCCTGCAGGAGTGAGGTGGGGGGAGCGGGCCGGTAGCTGTGGCCTGTCTGCCACGGTCTTGACAAGATGCAGGTTAGAATGCAGAAGCTTCTCAAAACACCTCATACAGGAATCAAATTGGGGACCCCTCATCACGCAGGCAGGGACACCCCTCAGACAGGACCCCTTTGCAGGTGGGGATCCCCCTCCACAGACAGGACCCCCCAGCAGGTGAAGACCTCCCTCAGCAGGTGGGGTGCTCCTTTTGCCAGATGGGCCCTTTTGCTGTTGAACTTGTTTGGTATGGCCCTCAGGATGCCCACAGCCCCAGCTGCACCCCGAGGCCTCGTCCCCACAGTGGAGGAGCCTGGCGCCTGCCTGGGGAGCAGGATGTCTGTACTCGGTATCCCAAGGCCCCACCCATTGACCGGGGCCATCCTGGGCACTTCCTTTGGGCCAGCTCCAGGCGCTCAGCCTACGGCTGCCCATGGCCAGCAGACAGTCTACACCTGTCTTGCACCTGTTTCTCTGCGAAGTCTCCCACCCACACCAGCCTGGAGCTCACCTGAGGGGGTGGTCCACACAGGGCAGCAGCTGCCACTGTTGTCCCCAGGGTCATTATCATTGAAGTGTGACAGGGGGCCTCACCCCAGCACCATCTGCAGCTGCATGTTGGGGGCTTGCTAAGGGGGTCCTGTCTCTGAGCTCCAGGGTACCTCTGTGCCCCAGCCTCTGGAGCTGGGTGGGGGTGTGGCAGAGGGAGGGTCCCCACTGAACGGCGATGGTGGAGGCCTTAGGTTCTCTCCAGTCTCCTTGGTGTGACCTTTGGCTCGTCCCACCCCTTCCCTGAGCCTCAGTTTCCCCCTCTTTGAAGGAAACTCATCCTCCTCCTACTGCGTGCCTCCTTCTGGGCTGTGAGGCTCGGGGGGCCTGGAGAGAGGCTAGTTCTGACAGGTGACCAGCAGATGGGGCCTGGCAGGCGGGGTGAAGACGGGCTCCGTGGGGCAGAGGCTTGGCACCAAACCCATAAGAGGAGCTTCTGCCCCAAGATCTGGGGTCCTCCTGTCCCCACCTATCTTCTCCTCCCTCCACATACCCCTCAGGCCGAGGGCCCTTAGAGGCCATGCTGAGAGTCCCCGCACCCTGAGTCCCACATATGGGTCACCTACTTTGACTTTCATCCTCAGGTGCCACCCATCCACCCCATCCTGGGGCCTCCCAGGCCCCGGGAGGGTCCCCTAGACCTCAGGACCTCACTGTGCCTGGAGCACCCCCATGCACCACCCCCATCCTATGAGCGTGTGACACACTCCTGCAGGGGACAGACATGGCCCCACGTGGCACGCACTCAGGCTCGGTCTGCAGAACTGGGACAGTGGCAATGGCAGAGGAGCCCCGCCTCCACCCCTCAGGCCCCTCCAGCACCCTGCGCTGGCACCTGGCTCAGGAGCCCATGAACTTGTGGAGGCAGTCCTGACCCCACCCCCTTTCCTCAGGGCCAGATTATCAGCTTATGGAGAGATTGTGCAGCGTGGGGCCGGAGAGGGAGGGTATGCCGGGCAAGGAGCATGTCCTGGACCCCTGCCTTGCTCAGAGTTCTGGATGTTAGGAAGATGTGCAGGCCTGGGAGGGGTCTGCATCAGCAATGGGATGACAGAGCCTCGAGGGCAGACTGAAGTGTTCTGGAAGCAATGAGTGTCCATGACCCCAGAGGCTGTCCAGCCCAGTCCAGCCCTGAGACCCTTCCCTCTGTGTTCCCCCATTTGCCTTGCTGTGTCCCACTTAGAAGCTGTCCCCATGACCTAGACAGTGCCGTGCTGGATGGGACCGCTTATGAACACTCTCTCAGCCCAGTGGGTCACAGACTCCACCTTGCTTACCTCAGATGTTAGGGGCCCTGACTTTCATGGAAGAGCCAGAGGGGCTGCTGATTTATCCTAAGGGAGGGAGGGCGGGCCTCTGTGGATACAGGTCAGGCTCAATTCTCCTGGTCCCCATGGATCTCCCCGTGGGCCCTCTGAGGCCGGCCCTTCCCCAGGGCGCTGGCCAGGCCTGCAGCACTGCTGACTGTTTGCCTCTCCCCGCAGGTCTGGCACCATGCCTGGTCCCTCCGAACTCTAGGCCACAGCCCCGGCCACCGGAGCAGCCCCTGTTCCCTTCAGGGCCCACCCCCTCCCCACTGCCCACGGCCCCACCATGGCTGGGGACCGGCTCCCTCGGAAGGTGATGGATGCCAAGAAGTTGGCCAGCCTCCTGCGGGGCGGGCCTGGGGGACCCCTGGTCATCGACAGCCGCTCTTTCGTGGAGTACAACAGCTGGCACGTGCTCAGCTCTGTCAACATCTGCTGCTCCAAGCTGGTGAAGCGGCGGCTGCAGCAGGGCAAGGTGACCATCGAGGAGCTCATCCAGCCAGCCGTGCGCAGCCAGGTACCTGGCGCCCGCCTCCGCCCCCACCACCCCATCCCTGGGGCTGACTGCCTTCCCATCCGGGCCCCCGTCACTTCCAGGGGCCAGGGCGGAACTCCTCAGCCAGGTACGCAAGAGCCCTCCGCTAACCCCAGCTGGGCTCCTAGGGCCAGAATGTTCTGAGCCATTCCAAGCCTTGGGCCTGTGGGCAGCTCTCGGCCCTCCTTCCTGAGCTTCCTCTTAGGTGTCCAAATGCCTCTCCCCAGGGAGGCCCTCTGCTGATAGGATTCATCTCCCCAGATATGATTCATCACCCCTCCCTTCCAGAGCCTGCTGACCCCATCTGAGTCCTCACTCGCCCCCCGCCCCTGGTAGAGGTCTCCCCTCATAAGACAGGGCTCTGTCCCTGGGGCCCAGTCCAGGGCTCAGAGATGAGCTGGGAGTGACAGGGACACAGAGGTGGGCGGGGGGCGCAGGGAGGCCGTGGACCAGGGTGGCAGCTGGGCAGGCACGTATTGATGGAAGGCAGGAGTGGTGACCAAGAGGCTCACACTGAGAGGTCGTGTCCCCAGCCCCCCAGTTCTGTCCCCTCTAGAGTTTTGAATGACCCAGAATTCTCTCTCTCTGGGATCAAGAACATCCCAGGTCACCTGCAGTGGACAGTCCTGGCTCTGTTAGCCAGGAACGTCGAGTCCAGCAATGAGAGGGACCTCTGACCCAGTGACCTGGGAAGACAGCGGCACCTCAGTGCGGGAGGGACATGCCCAGGGCCCGGGGCTGTGGGAGGAGTCTTGGTCACAGGCCCTGCCTCAGCAGAGCTGGATGTGAGAGGACCCAGGTGGCACAGCGGCTCGTGGGGAGTCCCCCCCCCCCCAAGGCCAGAACAAGCTCCCTGCAGCCTCAGTGAGGGGAATCCGGTGATTAATCACCCCCAGCGAGGACTCCCTGCCAGAGCGCAATCCCATTGGCTGCTGGTGACATCATCCAGCCCAGGGTTGGCGGCTCAGCTGGCTTAAGGGCTGAGTGTGCTTGGGGGGCAGGGCATTAGCCACTCACGGAGCAAACGCTGCTGAGCATCTGGTCCCAAGGCTGGGCGTGGGGGGGGTCGGGGGGGGGGGCGGCACGGACACGGAGCCCCAACTTCTAGCTGCAGCCTGCTGAATCCAGGGGGGTTCTTGCAGCTGCCCTTTTCCATCACTGGCTGGTGAAGAGGGGGAGGGCCCAGGCCCAATGGCATCCTACCTTCAAAAGCCCCAAAATGTGCTTCCCAGTAACCCTGGGGACAGTTTTCTCCATGCCTTGGTCGCCCTGAGGGCATCTGTGCACCCTTGCCCCTACGGGCACCTGTTGTGCCCCTGAAGACCCTGTCACGTTCGCCTGCATCTCTTCCACATGGACACGACCCGCAGTGGACGCCCATAAGTGTTCCCTTAGCTCAGGTGGCTGCGCGTGAGGACATGGCCTTAGGATGAGTGTCCCTGTTCCTGCCGGCTCTGAGGGCCTGTGTGGCTGTGGGCGTTTACCTGTCCAGGTGTGAGTGTGCAGTGGGTGGCTCAGAGCCTGCCCTTCCCTCTAGGCAGCAAGGTGGCAGTAGCCCCTCCCTGCCAGTGCCTGGCAAGTAGCAGGGGGTGGCAGCAAGGGGTGGGGGCCTCCGGCAGGTGCCCAGCAGCGCCCTGACCTCTGCCCTCACGGCTCCCAGGTGGAGGCCACGGAGCCACAGGACGTGGTGGTCTATGACCAGAGCACACGGGACGCCAGCGTGCTGGCCGCAGACAGCTTCCTCTCCATCCTGCTTAGCAAGCTGGACGGCTGCTTCGACAGCGTGGCCATCCTCACAGGTGAGCTGCGGACAGACCCGAGGCAGGGCCTGTGGGGCTCCCGCCTCTCCCTGTCCTCACTACAAGCTTGGCTGTGGTGGGCGGGGGCGGAGGGCAGGGCTCCTGATCCACCTCTGCTCTTTTTTCTAACCCGGGAGACCAGTGACGACGGGGGTGGGGGAGGTGCCTTCTCAATAACCCTGCAGTTCTCTGAGGCTCCGTTGTGCCCTCCCCTGGACCCCCACACTTCAGAACCCCCTCCCACACGGCCTACCCGCACCACTAACAGGTGAAGAGGTAGACAGGAGGAAAGCCCCAGATGTCGCGTGTGGCAGGTGTGGAGGGAAGGGGTCTCTGCCCCCCCACCTGCCCGGGAGAGGAGACACAGGCCGGGTCCTCTGCAAACCCCAAACTGAGCACAACCGGTTGCAGGAAGGGAGTGTCTGTGAAGGCCGCGGCCAGCACAGACACCTACTTGACCATGACCCTATGGGGCTCCCTGTTCCCCACCAGCCCAGCCAGCCTGGAGGCACACACGCACGTGTGCCTGATACGCACATGTGCCCAATGCGCATGCACACATACGTGTTCCAGAGTGGTCCTTGATGATGCCTTCCCCCTGCGGGCTGGGACTGAGGCGCTTCTGTAGAATCCACCTTCCAGAGGTGACCTGGGTCCCAGGGATGGGTGGAGCTGGCCCGGCCCGGGGATGCGCACCCTCCCTGACCAGGTGTGGGCGTCCGTGAGTGCTCCCGCCCCTGGCCTCTGCCTGCCGGGGCCCTGGCAGGGGAGCAAAGGACATAGAGGGCTCAGGAGAGTGTCGCCCCACCTCACACCGCCAATAGGATGTGTGTATACATTCAGCATGTCTGCCCTGAGCAGCCCCCACGTGCAGGCACCCTGCAGGGTGGCCCCAGGGCACCTGGCTGGCCCTCGGGCGCCCGTCCAGTGGCAGCAGGGACCTTCAACGTAACCTGCTGAAAGCTATAGCCAGGCCGCTCAGGGCCGACCTCCTGGAGGAAGTACCATATTCTGAGGGGTGTGCAGGCGTGCGTGCCACTGTCTACGCCTGTCTGGGTCCACACGGTCAGAAGGTGTCTGCATCCATGCCTGCCTCTGGGAGGCTGGCGACCTGTGTTTGCTCGTGTGTGTGGGTGTGTCCCCCACCTCGGTGACCCCAAACTTGTCTGGGTGGACTGTGGGACTTGTGTGCATGAGTATGAGCCCTGGGAACCACAGGCTACAGAACTGCAAACTCTGACTGCACCACTGTCCCCTGGGTTCAGTGTAGGGGGCTGAGCGGGTAGAGGGAGAGGGAGAGAGGAGAGGGAGGCTCTGGGCTTTTTAATGGGTATCCTGGGTGGAATAGGAGCTCTCCCAGGGCCCAGCTGGGAACCCCAGAACGAGTGTGTGTGTGTGTGTGTGTGTGTGTGTGTGTGTGTGTGTGTGTACGCGCATGCTCTCTAGCCAGGAGCAAGCGCCACCAGGCCCTTTTCTGGGAGTCTGAGAAAGAGGTCTTAGAGCAGCGCCCTCCCTTACCCCCAGGCTGCCCAGGAAAGCCCAGAACCTCTGATGGTACATCTCCCCTGAGGCTGGGGCCCTCACCCAGCATGCAGTGGGGCAGGCCTAGGCTGGGATGTGTCAGGAGCACCCACCTGGGACCTGGCTGTGCCCCAGTCGGCTCACTAAGCTGTTGGGGCTGCCCCTCCCTGCAGGATTAGAGTATTTGCGCCCATTTCCCTGAGGGCCAAGCCAGGTAGAGGTCACGACCCATCATGGTGTGAGAAAGGCTCATGGTGAGGCCGGATCGGGACCCAGACAGCGTTCTCACCTTGCCCGCAGCCCCAGGCAAGCACGGCCCCCGGCCCCCGAGCCAGTGAGAACGGCTTGAGTGGGAAACAGGGATGCTGCCCCGCCTGAAAGGGGAAGTGACTTTCCCGGATCGCGAGCCTGGGGAGGGGGTGGGGGGTGCTCAGCAGAGGTCAGAAAGGGAGGACCCCGCCCCTCCGTGGGTGGGGCTGAGGAGCGCGGAGAGGTTGCCACGACTGGAGGGCAGGGAGATCCCTGTCCGTGACAGCGGAGGCTCACGGAAGCAGGAGTGGGCGGCGGGGCAGGCGCCCTGGGGTCCGGAGCCCTCCCCGCCCCCTCCCCCCTCCCCCCGGCTGCTCGGCCGTGACGTCCGGCGGGGCGGGGACGGGAAAGGGAGCCTGGCCCTTTAAGCGGCGGGCAGCCCTCGCCCGGTGCGCGTCGCTGCGGAATGCGGGCGGGCGATGTCGCCGGTCCGTGCGCCCCCGCAGCCCGACCCCGCCAGCGCCGCCCTCGGACCCTGGCCGGAGACCGCGGCGGGAGCGGCCCCTGCGCAGAGGGTGCGCGGCGGGAGGATGATGGGGGTGGGGACCCTGCCCGGGGCGCGTGGGGACTGCAGGGGTGCACGGGGGAGGGGGGGGCGCACCGCCCACATCTGGGCAGGAGAGCCGAGCAATGGGAGCTGCGGGCGGGGGCAGTGGCCGGGCCGAGTACCCGCGAGTCGGCGGAGTTGGTGCTCCGAGGCGTGAGCTTTTGTGCGAATCCGGGATTCCATTGTGAGGCAGAGGCAGGCGGGTATCCCTCCCGAAGGAAGGTGCCCTTGGGGATGCCCAGGGGATGGGGGCACCTTCTGGCTGCCAGGACTGCCGGCACCTGCAGAGGGGCCGGGTCTGCTGCCGCGGTTCCAACCCAGGACGGCCTCAGAGCCTGGGGGTCCTGAAATCCCTGCAGGGGCTTGGCCTCAGGCTCTGCTGCACCTGGCATCTACAGGGGACTTGTAGGGGCACTGCCAGCGGCTTGGCTCTGGTGGGGGGTGGGGGGCTGGGGGGCTTTACCTGAGGAACTGCAGTCAGGTGTGGCAGGTCTGCACCTGTCCAGAGATCCCCGTTTGTGCGGAGAAACCCCTCAGCTTAGGCCATGTTGCCCAGAGAGCGGAGAGCAAGGGAGGCTAGAGGTGGTAGAGATGAGTCTTTGCAGAGAGGCTGGAGACCTTTGCCCCTCCTGGGACGGGGGTCCCGTCTTCCAGCAGGAGCATCCAGGGGACCCCTGGCTCTGAACGGTGAACAGGAGCCCACCCCCAGAACCCAGGTCAGCTTTCACCTGTGAGCTGTGTTGTCATTGGTGCTGACAGTCTCCCACGTCTCCCCGTCTGGGCAGCAGGCTCCCCCCAGCCTGGGGGTCCCCCATCACCATGCCCCCCCAAGTCAAACCTTCACTGGGGCCACAGGGAGCACACATGGCAGGCATTCTGGTTGGGGATTTGTACAAACTGGCCATTGATCTGGGCTAGGGGTGAAGGCCAAGGGCACCAGGCATCTCTGTCCCGGGAAATCGGCCAGGTCTTCCATACCAGCTGTCGCTGTAGACCAGGAAAGAGCACTGGGGGTCTTTGGGCCTGGGAACTCCCCTCACTCCCTGGCCTCCTCCAGACCAGTAAGGTAGACGGCAGTCCAGCTGAATTCCGGAACGGACCGGTGCACTGAGAGCAGGGAGTGTCCACAGGGCTTGTGTCCTGGTAAGTGTGGTTAGCCCCAGCGCGCCCCCCGGCAGTCCCACCTCATCTGACCAAGAGCTGGTGGTCACCCGGCCAGCCTGGGTGTGGACAGGTTCGTTCTCAGTGTGCCTTCACGGTCACTGTCTCCGTCGAGCTTCACAACTATGCCATGTGGCAGGCAGGTTGCAGAAACAGGCCGGAGACATAAAGGGCTCTGCCCGCGGTCACTGACTCAGAGACATACTCGGGAGTCCCCCTTGGGGCTTTGAGGCCAGTGGAGGGGCTCCTTCCACTGACCTGTGGCCCAGGGCTCGGATGTGCATGCAGGGGGAAGGCGGCAGGGCACATGCCAGCCACGTGCAGAACTGCAGAACGTGGGCCGGCTGCACGCCCTGCTTGCTCAGTCCCTGGGCTTCCCAGCTCTCAGCTCAGCCGCCGCTGCTGCCTTCTGGGCAGAAGGGAGCCTTAGCTAGAGCACAGATGCCCCCACAGGCTGTGCCGATTCCAGCAGGTGATGTCATGCCCAGGGGGAGGAGGGCCCCTCAGAAGCCCTTGGTCCTGGCACCCAAGCTTGGTCTGGGGCTCCTGGCCAACTAGAGTCGGGGAGGGATTGCATCAGCCCACGGGGAGAGGCAGGAAGGCCAAGGCTGGCCCCAGGCCACAGGGACGAGGGAGCCACACCCTCAGCAGGAGCCTCCATGGCATCCGAACGCACCCCTGCCTGGGTCCTGCACGTGCTAGGCTGGCTCGCCACCCGGACCCCACATTTACGGGCATCACAGCGGCGTCCTCACTGCGGCCAGCTCCTAATTAGCCTGAGGAGGAATGTGGGCGTAGGGGCGGGCTGTATATGTGCATAGCACTCGCCTGGACGTGGTGAGAGCGGCCCTCCAGCACTCAGCACTGAGACCAGGTGCTCAGGCCAGAGGCTCAGCCGCGGGCCTCCCTTCGGGCGGGGAGTCCGAGCTGGGTGAGGCTGAGATGTAGAGGTGGTCTGGTGCCCGGGGCTCTTTCTCTTCAACGTCTGTCTGACCCGCGTCTCCTCCGCTCCTCCCGCAGGGGGCTTTGCCACCTTCTCCTCCTGCTTCCCCGGCCTCTGTGAGGGCAAGCCTGCTGCCCTGCTGCCCATGAGCCTCTCCCAGCCCTGCCTGCCAGTGCCCAGTGTGGGCCTGACCCGCATCCTGCCTCACCTCTACCTGGGCTCTCAGAAAGATGTCCTGAACAAGGTGTGTGCATAGCTGGGACTTTGGCCATTGGTCGGGGAAAGCGGCAGGGGCTCCGAAGCAGCTCCGGGGCTGGTCTGGGGGAGGAAGAAAGCCGAGAGGCAGTGTGGGGATGGATGCACCAGGTGCGGGAGAAGCAGGAGTTGGGGGTGAGAAGACCCACGGAGGCCGTGGCAGAACCGGAGCAGAGCCGGTGGAGAAGCAGCTCCCAGCTCCTTATGCGGTGGAGCCCACATGCCAAGCTGCTGATGTCACTGGGCCCCCGCCCAGCACCGAAAGAATCCCGAGTTTTAAAACTGTTGACGACCAGGCAGCCGTAGAGCCCCTGGGAGCCCACCCCAGGCTGTGGGCGGGGCTTGCAGAGGCTCCCCTCTCCAGGGCATCCCAGGATCCAGACGTCTGGTCCAGAGGCACCCCAGTCCTCTGATTTGCCCTCCCGTCCCTCCAGGACCTGATGACCCAGAACGGAATAAGCTATGTCCTCAACGCCAGCAACTCCTGCCCCAAGCCGGACTTCATCTGTGAGAGCCGCTTCATGCGCATTCCCATCAATGACAACTACTGCGAAAAGCTGCTGCCCTGGCTGGACAAGTGCATTGAGTTCATCGGTGAGGGGCGGGTACCCTGCTGCCCGAGCTGGGGGCCGGGGCCCAGGGGAGCGGGGGGAGGGGGAGGCAGGGGGGTGTAGGGCGCTCTCCTGCCGCAGGGGGGCGGGGCCGTCAGGTTCAGCGATGAGGGGCGGGTGCTCTCCCGCTTGTGCTCTTGGGGGAGGCGGGAGGCCAGGGCAGGGGGGAAGGGGGACAGGAGTGTCGAAGAGGAGGGGGGGAGGACGCCCTCCTGTGCGTGCTCTTGGGGAGGTGGGGCAGGGGGGCAGGGGGAGCAGGAGTCTCCAAGAGGAAGGCATGCGGGAGTGGAGGGAGAAGAGCTGTGGTCATGGGTCGCCGGCCTGAGGTGGAACTGGTATTGTTGGCGGTGAGCCGCTCCCCCACCTGGGTTCGGACCCCAGCCCTGACCCCGTCCCCACGGCCCCGCCTCCAGATAGAGCTAAGCTGTCCAGCTGCCAAGTCATCGTCCACTGTCTGGCCGGCATCTCCCGCTCTGCCACCATCGCCATCGCTTACATCATGAAGACCATGGGCATGTCCTCCGACGATGCCTACAGGTAGCCCCTCTTCCCTCCCCCTCCCCCAGCAACCACACCGCCCGGCCAGGAGGGAGAGGCCAGAGGGGCCTCCGCACTCTCAGGCTTGGCCTCAGCCGTGTGCCCCAGCGTGGGCAGGGGGAGCAGAGAGAGACGGGGAGGCCGCGCAGGCTGGCGGGGAGCCCTGACCCAGCACAGCCGCCTTCCTCCCGGCAGGTTCGTGAAGGACCGGCGCCCGTCCATCTCGCCCAACTTCAACTTCCTGGGCCAGCTGCTGGAGTATGAGCGCAGCCTGAAGCTGCTGGCCGCGCTGCAGGGGGACGGGGCGCCCCCCCCGGGCACCCCCGCGCCCCTCCCGGGCCCCGCAGCCCCGCCGCCGCCGCCGCCGCCGCCACCACCACCTACCTCAGAGAGCGCTGCCACCGGGAGCGCGGCGGCCAGCGCAGTCCGGGAGGGCGCGCCCGGCGCCGGCGGGGAGCCCCCCGCGCCCCCCGCGGCCCCGGCCACCAGCGCGCTGCAGCAGGGCCTGCGCGGCCTGCACCTGTCCCCCCTCCAGGACGCCAACCGCCTCAAGCGCTCCTTCTCGCTGGACATCAAGTCGGCCTACGCCCCGAGCCGGCGGCCCGACGACCCCGGGCCGCCCGACCCTGGGGAGGCCCCCAAGCTCTGCAAGCTGGACAGCCCGTCGGGGGGCACGCTGGGCCTGCCCTCGCCGAGCCCCGACAGCCCGGACGCGGCGCCCGAGTCGCGCCCGCGCCTCCGCCGGCGGCCGCGGCCTCCAGCCGGCTCCCCCGCGCGCTCCCCGGCGCTCGGCCTCGGCCTGAACTTCGGCGAGGCCTCCCGGCAGACTCCGCGGCTCGGCCTGTCGGCCCTGTCGGCGCCCGCGCTGCCCGGCCCCGGCCAGCCGGTCCCCGGGAGCTGGGCGCCGCCGCTCGACTCCCCGGGCACGCCGCCGCCCGACGGGCCCTGGTGCCTCAGCCCGGAGGGCGCGCAGGGCGCGGGCGGGGCGCGGTTCGCGCCCTTCGGCCGGGCGGGCGCGCAGGGCGCGGGGGGCAGCGACCTGCGGCGGCTGGAGGCGGCGCGGGCCGAGGCCCGGGACGCGCGGACCGGCTGGCCGGACGAGCCGGCCGCGGAGACTCCGTTCAAGCGCCGAAGCTGCCAGATGCAGTTCGAGGAGGGCATGGTGGAGGGGCGCGCGCGCGGCGAGGAGCTGGCCGCCCTGGGCAAGCAGGCCAGCTTCCCTGGCAGCGTGGAGGTCATCGAGGTGTCCTGACGGCGGCCGGGACCCGCCCGGCGCGGCGCGGCCCTCACCCCCCTCCCGTCTGAGCTGCCAGCAGCCGGGCCCGCTATAAATATATATTATATATAATGCAAAGAAAGGTAAATGGTTTTACTGCGATTTTTATCGAGAAGTAAATATTTCGATTTTTTATTTATTTAAGCTGTTCATTCTGGCAATGATTTGGCAACAGTGCGGGCGGTCCTCGGAGCTCTATTTTTACTGTCTGGTATTTAAACTGAAACACACGTTTCTAAGCAATATGAGGCCACCTTCAGTCCCCAGCTGGGGTGCCAGGCCTGGGGTCCCCTCCCCACCCTCCCTCCCCCAGGAAACACTGCTGACCCTTGCAAAGAGGCTGCCGAGCTTTTGTGCACTTTTTTACATAAGAAAAAGGGGAAAAAAAGAAAAAAAAACTTTGCCACAAACTGAGCCTCAGAACCTCCCCACCCTCCTCTCCACGCCTTCTCTTCTGCTCCCGTCTCTGCACCAAAGCCTGGGGGTGTCCCAGGAGCTGGCGAGGGGCCAGGACGCTCTGCGGCTGGAGGCTCCCTCCACCACCTGCCTCCTGTTGCCCCATCCCCACCCTGTTGCCTGGTTTAGGGCGTTCAGAGGGGCTGTGGATGGACAGGGTAGGGGCTCAGTGAAGGGGGCTCCTGAGTGTCAGCTGCTGTGGCCCCAGGGCAGGGATGGACGTAGAGTGGCCCCCACTCCTGCCTGAGCCCAGCTCCAATTTCATGGGTTCAGCAAGGCTGCTGCATGGAGGCTGCTCCCCTCGCCTCCGCTCTGTGGGTGCCCCCAGCACCACCTGCCAGGTGGGGGACGCAGCTGGGGTATAGGAGCTCGGCCCCTGGGGCAGTCAGGCGGGAGGAGCTGGGCCAGCCGGTGCTGGCTCCACGAGTCAGAGGGCACATGAATTTAGCCTTGTTCTGGGCTCTTCCCGCCCCAGGCCCCTGGCCAGGCTTGGGATTCAGGTATGTTCCCGCAGGTGGGGGGAGGGGGGTTGTCTCCGTGAGAAGCTGACTGCCTTGCAGTGGGAGGAGGTAGTTAAGCCCCCGTCAGACCCTTGTGCTTCCCGAGAATGGGGATAAAGACCCCTGACCTGGGCAGGTGCAGGAAGTATCCCCCAGTGCTGCTCCCAGCCCCACGGGGTCCCTGGAGAAGATCGGCTCCCAGATTCCCCTTTCCTGGGGAGCTCTCGCCTCTGAGGCCTCCCTGGAGTCTCCCAGGTGGTTTGTTGGGTGGGCCAGCCTCTTGGGTTATAGGGACTCGTGGCTTTTGGAGGCAGGAGTAGATGTCCCCCAACCCTCAGATGTCCTAGAGTCTAGGAGTGGGGGCCGGTCACCTTGGGAAGAGGTCAGGGGCTTGGCAGGAGGGATGGCTGGGGGGACGGAGTCCTCAGGCAGCGGCCTCTGTGGCTGTTTCTTCTGTTTGTTCTTCTGTTGACCTGCAGCTCTGTGCACCTGTCATCCCCCCTTTAAGCAAAAGTCCTTTCCTGTTCCCTCTGTCCCCACCCCATTCCCCCAAAAAATAAGCTATCATTGTTGTGTTTGCAATCTATGGATTAGAGGTTTAAGTATTTATTATTATTGGTTTATTATTATTATTATTGATTATGTAAATTTGCCTTCTGTCTGTCTATCGCGTTGGGTTTCTGAGGTGACCCTGGGTGTGGAGGATGCACTGGTCCCGCCTCCGTGCCCCCACCCCCGTGCTGTCCAGGAGACAGTGGTCTGGGGCCACTGGTTGGGCCCCAGAACTCTGGAGGCAGGTCCCGCGGCCCCGCCCTTTCCTCCCTCTGCCCTTTCTCAGGGCTGCCAGCATCTCTTGTGACTTCTGTCTTGAGGTATGGGGGGGGCTCTTGCCCTCGAGGCACGGGTCACCCCAAAGTGAGCAGCTGCAATGGGGGGGAGGCCCTGTCTCGGCCACCCCTCTCCTGGGGGAACCGGGCCCTGGCACGAGCCCCTCCCTGGCCACTTCCACGCACTGCCCAAGGTGGGGCGGGGCCGGGCCCCAGCCCTCTCCCAAGTCTCTCGGCCCTCCCACCCCCCTCCCTCCCCGGCCCTGGCATTGGGGGCTGCCTCACAATGGACCCCGCCCCCTCCTAATATTTGCTGGAAAGTCCAGCGGCGGAGAGGTGGCGGGTCCCCCGCATGGCTCCTGGTCTCTCTGGACTGGGCGGCCCGCCCCTGCCTCAGAGCCCGTCCCCCAGCGCGGCCACACTCTGCTCCCCCACCTGTCCCTTCTTTTGTATTTGGAAACAACGTGTTGTAATAAATCCTGAGATGGATGTTTTCTCCATGCCTCTGGTTGCCTATTTCTTCAGGCTGGTGGCGGGTGGCGTGGAGATGGGGCAGTGGCCCTGGAGGCCTCTGAGACTGCAGTGCTAGGGATGGGCCCCCAAGACCCACCTCCCGGGACTCACTGCCTTGGCCCCAGAGGGCAGGCTGGGGCAGGGAGGGAAGCAGTGCGGGAGGAGGGCCCCCTTGCTTGCTGGCACCTCCTGGGGAACATTTAAAGAATTGCTGGGCACAGGAGGGTGGGCGCAGGCGGGTGGGCACAGGCAGGTGGGCACGCCCATGGACACACCATACAACCTTCCTTTCCAACAGAAATGGGGGTCTAGCTATAGAGCCTGATGAAGCTAGCTTTTTAATTATGATTTAAATAATTACTGGAAGGAATACACACAGGTTACAAGGACCGCAGGTCCCCAAGGGTGTCTGATGGAAGGCACCGGTGTGACCCGCCCACGTTTGTCCCCAACCCCTGGGTTCCTGCCGGGGCGGCCGGGCGCTGCGGCGGTCATATCTGCACTGACCCTGCAGCGTGAGGGGGGCCGTGTGCTCCATCAGCCGCTACGGCCTAGGTTGAGGTTAGTCCACCGTGTGTGGTCACGGCCACAGCTCTGACCGTCCAGGCGAGGCTCTCATGGGACAGATTTTTAGACAGGACTCCCCGGGGTCACTCCAACCTTTGTCTGGCCGTTACTGTAACAGCCCCTGTGTACTGAGCTCACCACTACTCCAGGGTATTTCCTGGAACGTATCTCCCGGTGCCCAGGTGAGCTACCAGACACATCGGTGCCCTCGCAAGGGGTCTGACCCTTCTTGCAGGTCTGGCCTGCTTATTCCTAGGGACACTTCCCGATTTCCAAGCAGAGAGCCCGAACCAGTGACACAGGCCAGACCCGCATGGGTGTGTGGGTGCATGTGAGCATATGTGGGAGTGTGTGTGTGAGTGCAGGATGCATGTGTCTCGAGAGGCTAGGAGAGCAGAGGAAGCAGGAGACAGAGGAGGGGCAGGGGGAGGCAGGGTCCTGGAGTCCAGCACCCTAGGAGCCCTCAAGAGGCTGAACAGTAGAAGCACGGGCTGCCTGCTCAAGCGAGGCTATTTTTAGCTCAAGAACATCTATTTATAAGTCTGGCAGCCCCTTGGAGTCAATAAAACCAGGACTGGAAGAAAGCTGGCGGCTGTCTCAGGCACTGCAGTGCCCCCCCCCCCCCCCCCCCCCCGCACACGAGCACCTGCAGCCACAGGAGGCGGGTGCTGGGGCCTCTCCCGGGATGGCCAGCTGGGGCACAGGAGGCCAGAGGCCACTGGGGGGGGGGGTGGCATGTAAGACTCCAAGCCAGGTGGGAGATGCCATTTGCCCAGTCGGCCAGGCAAGGGGAGGTCAGCTGGCCCAAGAGTGGAACAGAGCAGGGCCTGAGGGCGGGCCAGAACACCAGGGGGCTGGTCTCCACCTGCTCTCGGCCGCGCAGTGCGGTGCCCGTCACAGGGGGTCTTCTGTAAACACTGGACGTCCTGGCTGTTTCTGCCTCTTGCCCCCCTGCCCCCCTCGGTCAAGAGCTCCAGGCTCCTGATGGGTCTTGGATAGGTTAAGTAGACGGGTCAGTAAAGGGTTGCTTTGTGTGGATAGATGGGTAAAAGGAAAGATGGGTGGGTGGGTGAATGTTCAGGTGGGTGGGTGGGTGGGTAAACGGGAGGAAGGCAAGGAGGGAGGGAAAGAAGGTAGGTAAGTAGTAACATATTACGTGGTGCACTTCTGGTCTACTTTATATTAGGGCCGTGTGCTAACCTTCATTCTTCTGCTGGGATGTAGATGGGCACCTTGTCCTTGCTTAGAGAAGATGGTCAGTAAATGCCCAGTGTAAAATCCACCGGCTCAGAGCTGGGCACTACTGTACAGACCCAGTTCAACCCTCCCAAAGGCCCAAGGAGGTGTTAAAAAAGAGACAATGATGGGGCGCCTGGGTGGTTCAGTTGGTTGAGGCTCCGACTTCGGCTCAGGTCATGATCTCACGGTTCGTGGGTTCGAGCCCCACGTCGGGCTCTGTGCTGACAGCTCAGAGCCTGGAGCTGCTTCGGATTCTGTGTCTCCCTCTCTCTCTGCCCCTCCCCTGCTCACGCTGCTCCCCCCCCAGAAATAAACAAAACATTTAAAAAACTTAAAAATAAATAAAAAAGAGACAACGGGCCCAGAATGGAGTCACATGTGCTAAGCCCTAACTAGCAAACTAAGACTTACCATCTAACCTAACTGCAGTTTCAGCCTCTCCCAGGAGTGGACTCCGTCTGGAATGTCCTGGTCAGCACCAGGGAGGTCATGTGCTGGACAGACCCCTCCCTTCCTGAAACAACCCACTCGTTCAGCCTCCTTGCCCCCTCCAGCCCTTCTGCCCAGAAAAACCTTCCATTCTATGCAACTCCTCAGGCTTCTTTCTACCTGCTAGGTGGGATGTTGCCCAATCCATGAATCGTTGTACAAAGCCAATTCGATCTGCAAATCCATCCAGTGGAATTTTGTTTTTCTAGCCAGGGGGACTGACTTTCTGACGTCCCCCAGATTTGGGGCAGAGTTGGAGTAGGCTGTTATTCCCTGACCTCTGGGTGCCGCTCATTCCAGCTAGCAGTCCCTGGAGGTGTCCTGAGTGGGGCCAGCCTCAGTGGCCACTCAGGCCCCTTCCAGATCAGACCCTGTTTCTGAGGCTCAGGCCTGAGGGGGCTTAAAGCAGGGGAGGCGTGAAGCCACTGGCTCTCAGGAAGGCTTAGGGCAAGGGGGCTGGCCTCTGAGAGCCAGGTTGGATTTGGAGGGTTGGGGTGTGTGTAAAGAGGATGCTGTGGCCAGAGCCACAGAGGAAGGGTGGGGGTGGGGCTGCACGCCTCGGCGGCCAGAAGCTGCTGCCTCTGGCCAGTGGGTCCAGTGGGAGGCGGAGTGCACAGCCTTGAATGATGGGGGGGTGGTGGTGGGTGGGGTGGTGGGGTGGTGGGGGTGGGGGGTGGGGTGGGGGGGTGGGGGTGGGGGTGGGGTAGGGGGGGACGTGTCAGGAGGTTCACCTGTTCTCCAGAAAAGTAGTTCTTCCTGAGAAGCATGGGGCCTCCAAGGGTCTAAAACAAATGGAAACTGACAGGGGCCCCTGGGTGGCTCAGTCGGTTAAGCATCTGACTTTGGCTCAGGTCAGGATCTTGCGATTTGTGGGTTCAAGCCTGGGATCCGGCTCCATGGTTCAGAGCTCGCTCGGGATTCTTTCTCTCCCCCTCCCTGTCTCTCCCCCCGCCCCTACTTGCAGTTCCCCCCCCTCTCAAAATAAATAAATAAACTTAAACTCTTAAAAAAATGGAAACTGGCAGTTGGGTGTCCCGTTCTCCAGAAAGGGGCGCAGGGGCTGGCTGGGTGCTAGACAGACAGGCTGATTGGGGGTGTCTCGTGCAGCTAGCCTGAGCACTCAGGAAACAGAGTTCTCCCTCTGCGGAGACACCCCTTCAGGCAACCCCCCAGAGTAATCTCATCCTTTGGCAGGGGGGCAGGGGCTAGGCTGGCAAGACAGTCCCAGGGCCTCCTCCTGACCCTGGGGTTGCGGGGCGGGGGCTCCAGATAAGACGGTCATCTCTGAAGGAGTGGCCAGGCCCTGACAATGGTACAGATAGCTTGATGAAGGTAAGGGAAAGGGGGTGGTTCCCCCGGAGGACAGAACCCAGGGCAGGCAGGCAGGAGAGCACAGGTGAGACGTGGGGGCCATGCCCAGAGCCCCGAGGAAGACCTGGTGGGCTGCGGAAGAGCACACGTGCCCCCTTGCCAGGACACACACAGGCCTCAGGGCGGGGTGATGCCAGGGGCAGGCCTTTGCCAACTAGGCAGGTGCCTGGAGAGCCCCTCTAGCCTTTCAAAATACAGCAAAATCTTCCAACACCCTATTCCTGGGGAGTGCCAGGGGAAAGGCTGGGGGGTCTCAGGAAGAAAAGTGGTGGACAGAGAGGGACCCCCTTAAATTGGATGGGACTAGAGCAGATTGGCATTTGGGTGAGGGACCTTCATTCCGGAGGGAAAAGGCGGAGGCCACAGGAGGCTTCACCCCTTTTCTCTGCGAATACCAAAGGTGAAGCCAGAGTAGCAAAGGCCTTTCCTCAGGAAGTCCCGCCGGGTAGTTCTGAGAGAAGAGAAAGCTGCCCCTTACCACCACCACCCTGCCCCCATCTCGAATCAGGGGGCTACCGGCCCCCTAGGCCTGCCTCCGTGCTGCCTGGGCCAAGGTGGGATCAGCCACATCCCTGCAAACCTGGGGCAGTCCCGGACCCAACAGGCCAGGTAGCTACCCGGAGGGGTGGTGGCACCCTTGGCTTGGGGCCGGTGGAAGCCAGACTCAGGCTGACCAATTGGCGGACGTAGCTATAAATAGCCAAGGAGAGCCTGAAATAGAAGTGGGGAAAGAGAAGGGGGAGGGTCTGGACTTAGGGAGCCAGCGGAGAGGAGAAAAGGCCAGAGGCCTGACGCCAGAGGAGGAAAACAAAGCCCCGTCCTAGAGCGCCCCACCCCCACCCAGCCCGTCCAAGGGGGTGTTTGCACGCAGAAGCAGCTGGGGAAGAAGGGTGAAGTCAAGAGCCCTGCCGGCCCAGTGTGGAGTGGGGGGGTGAGGGGGTGAGGGGGTGGGGGGGGTCGCAACCCCGGTGGGGGGGGGCCTGGCCTGTGCGGGCCACAGCTCCCTCTTCCTCTCCCAGGTGGCAAAGCGGCTCCTCCCGACGCCGCACAGGAAGGGATTCCGCGCCTCTCCTTCCTCTGCCCGCTCCCCAGTTTAGCCCCTGACCCAGGAGCCCCTGCGACACCGACACCCCTCACACAGTTGCCAGGGACTGAACTAGGCTGCCCAGGAGGGGGCTCCACTAGGCGCCTAGGCGCCCGGTGCCTAGGACGGGAGCGTGCCCTGGGGTCAGAGTCGGGACGGGAGCGTGCCCTGGGGTCGGAGTCGGGACGGGAGCGTGCCCTGGGGTCGGAGTCGGGACGGGAGCGTGCCCTGGGGTCGGA